TCCCGATACTTCGATAAATACCCAAAACACTACGGAACCATTCCAGTGTCCAAATATTATCGTCCAATATATCAATTTTTACCTCTCGACCATTACAAGACTCTTCGTCATGTCCGTGATCTCATCCGGGACTCCGAACAATCTTCGATCACCAAAACAGATAACTCATAATACAAATCATCATCGAACGTTAAGCGTGCAGACCCTGCAGGTTCGAGAACTATGTAGACATGACAGAGACACATCTCCGGTCAATAACCAATAGCGGAACCTGGATGCTCATATTGGTTCCTACATATTCTACGAAGATCTTTATCGGTCAAACCGTAATGACAACATACGTCATTCCCTTTGTCATCGGTATGTTACTTGCCCGAGATTCGATCGTCGGTATCTTCATACCTAGTTCAATCTCGTTACAGGCAAGTCTCTTTACTCATTCCATAATGCATCATCCCGTAACTAACTCATTAGTCACATTGCTTGCAAGGCTTATCATGATGTGCATTACTGAGAGGGCCCAGAGATACCTCTCCGATACTTAGAGTGACAAATCCTAATCTCGATCTATTCCAACCCAACAAACACCTTCGGAGATACCTGTAGAGCATCTTTATAATCACCCAGTTACGTTGTGACGTTTGGTAGCACACAAGGTATTCCTTCGGTACTCGGGAGTTGCATAATCTCATAGTCAAAGGAATATGTATAAGTCGTGAAGAAAGCAATAGCAATAAAACTTAACGATCATTATGCTAAGCTAACGGATGGGTCTTGTCCATCACATCATTCTCCTAATGATGTGATCCCGTTTATCAAATGACAACACATATCTATGGTCAGGAAACTTAACCGTCTTTGATTAACGAGCTAGTCTAGTAGAGGCATACTAGGGACACTTTGTTTGTCTATATATTCACACATGTATTAAGTTTTCGGTTAATACAATTCTAGCATGAACAATAAACATTTATCATGATATAAGAAAATATAAATAACAACTTTATTATTGCCTCTAGGGCATATTTCCTTCACCTCTGTTGACGGATGATATCCTTCTCGAGTTAGCCTCCTTGTTCGCTCCGGTCCTCTGATGATGGTTGAGGACTCCAATGCCTCATTGCTTGTGTGTCTGGGCTTTGTTGTTGCTCTTGAGCACGCTTGTATCTTGCCTGTGTTTTTCTCTCTTTTTGTCTTTATTGTGTGGTGTCATGTTGTGTTATGTTGTGTTGTATCGCTGGTTGTAAGGGCTTTATTAATTTAAAGCCGGGCGCCACAGTCTTCTTTCTAAAAAAAGAGCGGGAACGAACGAGCGAGACGAAATAGATCAAGCTCGTTGGGCTGGGTCTAGCAAGGTTGATAGAAGATCAGAAAGAAATTGCAAAAATGCCACGGTGGTATCCATGTCATTTCTTGGTTTATGGAGGAAACAAAGTAATGTGGGGCAAACAATGAAGTGCCCAACTAATAAATAATCTAGGCAAATGAGCAAACACCCCCGGTATCATGTGAAGCAATTTGTGAGGCATCCTCTGAAGATTTACTGCACATGGATCATTGTCATCCGCAGAGAAATCAATCAATATTCTTTGTCAAATGCTCGCCGTCCAACGACGATCACCCTGCCGGTGCATCCCCCTAGCCGGTGCCGGTGACTTGCACCTGCACCCGCACGCGTGACGCTGTTTACCATCCCAACCAAACCAAGCAGCCACACAACAGACACAACACAGTGCCGTCCCTTTCCCCGTGTCACTGTCACTCTCACTCGAGCCACGGAAACCGCAGCAGCAAACGGCCGCCAGCCACACACACCTCCGGCATCAATCAGGGGCTCGGTCAGTCGATGGGGCCCCTCATGGATCTCGAAGCGACGATGACATCACCGTCGCCCCCCGCCCGGCCTCTAAACCAGCGCCCTCTGTACACCGGATAAGGCGAGAGAGAGAGAGAGAGAGAGAGAGAGAGAGAGAGATCCCCTGCACCCGCAGCATCCCAAGCATCACTTCATTACTCTCCATCATTCATCGCCAGCTTCCTCCTTTCTTCCTTCCTCGCATAGAAAACCCAAGCAGCGCTGGTCCCCTCCCCAGCTCTTCTTGAGCTGCTTGATCGACCAGTCAGTGCCTGGCCTCTCGCACGGAGGAAGCTGCCACATCCATCCATGGAGGCCGAGGACGACCAGCCTGCCGCCGGGTACCGGCACGGGCCGCCGTGGGTGTTCAAGGGCAGGCAAGTGCCTCCCCTCCTCTTCTTTTCTCTCCCGTTCACCATGGATGGTGTAGGTGGAGCTGGGGGCGGGCGACTGATTCTTTTGGTGTGCGTGTGCCTTGCAGCGCATTGTACCAGCTGCATTTGGTGAAGGCGGCCACGGCGCGGGCGTTCGTGCCCAAGGAGCTGCGCCTGGTGGAGGCCTTCGGCTACACGCTCGGCGGCATGTTCCTGGCGCGCTACCACGACAGCCCCGCCGGCCAGTTCGACGAGGTTCCCCTCCCTGCCTGGCCCCATTCCATCTCCTCGTTCCTCCATACGTTTTCTGACGAGCTTTGCTTCGCAGCTGGTGGTGATCGCCGGCATTGTGTGGAATCCGCCGACTTCCTGCGCGTGAGTTGCTCTTCTTCTTTTGTCCTAGTTTAATCGCTTCTAATTCCACTAGTGAGTGATTGCCTGCTTGGGGAATGCGAATAGAATCGATCAACTGGCACAACTTGCATTACAAAACAAGGAACAACGCCCACTTGATCAGTATCATCAGTTCACTGTGCCTGAGCTCCTCAGTAAACAACGCCCACTTGATCAGTTCACTGTGCTTGACCTCCACTTGTGTTAAACCAGCAACCATTAATTATCTCATCCGCTCGCTGTGCTTGCTCCCTCTGGCATGGACAACCGTGCTGCCCATCTGGAATCCATTTGGATTAACCCTCTGACTTACCCGCCGACGCCTAAGATAACTTGCTTAATTAGTGATGCGATGCCATCTATCCTCCTCAGTTTTTCTTTTCATTAAAAAAGAAAGCGGCCGTAGTTGTGCACTCTGCTGATTTGCTGTCTGAACCTGTGTAACAGGTGGGCTGCCCGGGTGCTAGTAAACAGCGCTGAAGCCTGCCGGCATGGACGCAAGGTGCCAAACTGCCAACAGTGTCCATCTATGATTCGTTCCTGGTTCAGGCCAATTCTTCTCTGCTAGTACTGCTATTTTCCTAATTACTGTCACTGTCGCTAATGCAGGAAGTAGGGCTTCCAAGCCATGTCGCGGCATTCTCACAGGTACTCACAGCACTTTTGTTCTGTCATTAGCTTTGACAAATGTTAACTTGTAACGTGTTGTTCAAAAAAAAAAACTTGTAACGTCAACTTTGCTCACATGGAGGATAGACCGAAGATTCTACGCTCAGAAATAAACCAAACAACTTCCTCAACATTCTCGGAATGGGTTCAGGCTTCTCCAAGCAAGAGAATTACCGGCGCATTGAGATCAAGGAGGCCTCGGGCTCATCATCAAGGCATTTGTGCAACATCAGTCTGCCTCTCAACGGTAATTTATAACTTGTTCTATGTTAAATGCATCGACCCTTATGATCTACTCCCTTTGTTCCTAAATGCAAGACGGTTTGGCAGTTCAACATTTAGAAACAGAGGTAGTATTTTACTGGAACGATTTTGAAGTCTTAATGACCACTTTACTGGAATGCATCTTACAAGGTCAAGTTACAAGCCTTATCTTACAACATGTCTTAAGAATTTCAACTCTAAAGCTCTAAAAAAAGGAACTTATAGAACTTGACCATTTTAATTCAGTGTCATCTTTTCACCTACTAATTATGCAGAAGGGTCAAGAGGATCACATAAACGCAGCAAGTGGATGGGTCCGGCAATCAAAATGTCCCTCCCAAGCTTCAGGTTAGCTTTTTTTAAACCAAACTAGAGAACCTGCATCTGCATGTTTCTCCAGAAGATAACCGCTGAAGTCCCAACCAATGCCTGCACAAGGCACCATTCTCAAAACCTGAACTGAACTTGTGCTGTGAATTTCAGCGGCCAGACAGAGGACCATCCTGAGCTTCTCAAGTACTCCTGCAAAGTAGAGTGCAGGTGGTTGCACTCCTAAATTCTCAGCATATGCCCTCTGATGCACATTGCTCTTTTTTTATGTGCCTTTCTAACCACAGGTGTGTGTGTTCTCTTGCATAGGGTGCGGCCGGTGAGTCCAGCTAAGATCTGGAGCCCTAAAACCGCTGAACCACAGGAGTGTTCTGACGGCATGAACAGCAGCACCGGATCATCGGATTCAGACGCGCAAAAACAAAGCCTCCTGGTCTTGCTATCCAGGCCCATCTTGGCTCTGGAGTTCAGCTCCCTGCGGATGCACGTCGATGCGCCGAAAATTGTCGCTCCGCACCCCAAGAAGAAGGAAGTCAGATACTCCAGTACCTGAATCTCATGCCACACCATGGTTCAGAAGACACCAGCTCTGGCCAGTAGACTTGGGCAGCATTCATCTGTTGTTCTTTCATTTGTTCATAGGTTGCAAGTAAGACTGTGCAGCTGGATACTGTGAAGCCTGCTTGCTGAATTCATACATAGTTTGGCATAGATTGGTTTATATGAGAAACAGCAACAGGGGATACTTTTATCAGAACATTTGCAGTTACTAGTAGTAATACAAAATATGGGCGAATTAGCAGATAAGATATACACGAAAAGCAATTGTTCCAGAATTAGATTAGCATATGGTCTTCAAATTTCAGAATAACAGAGTCACTCATGCACCCAACGTCCAATCCTAACAACTACAGTAAGTGTCAAACTCTGACCTAAAACACGGCTACTCCTGAATCGGCTTCATCCCATTTCGTTGCTGCTACGCTAAGATCAGTGGTCAAAGTAGGAGAGGAGGCTGTCGATGTCGTCGAAGCCGGCAATGTGAGGCAGATCCATGGCGATGGAGGGAAGGTCCGGCAGCTCCATGAGCCCCAGGGGGAGCGGAGACATGAGGCGGCAGTCGACGTCCATCTCCTCGCTGGTTTCATCAGCAGGCGGTGGCGGCGTCCGCTGTTCCATCTTCACCGGCCCGCTCACCGGCACCGCCGCGATCGGCTCCTCGTTCGCGGCGGCGGCGGGCAGCGGCGGCGGTTGGGCACGCGCTTGCACCGGCGATCCGGCCGAGACGGCGCCGGCGTGGCTCGACGAGGACCCAGCCGTGGAGCTCGCCTCGTTGACGTTGTACGCGAGCAGAGGGAGGTGCCCCGCCGTGGTGGCAGTGGCACTGTCATCCTCGTTGCACACGACCAGTGGGAGGTCCCGCGCGGTGCCGCTGGTGCTCTCCTCGTCGTAGACGACCAGCGCGAGGTCCAGGCTCGTGGCGTCGCACGACGAGCTCGTGCCGCCGGTGCGGCGGCGGCGGCGGCTCCTCGCCTTGCGGGGTAGCTGCTTCTTCAGCGTGCTGTTCCAGTAGTTCTTGATGGCGAGGTCCGTCCTCCCGGGGAGCTCGGCGGCGATGACGGACCAGCTGTTCGATCAAATGCCGACAGGAGCAGATCAGTGAACCAGCGACGGAATGCAACAACACTCAGCACTTGCAGAAGACGAGGTTTGAAAAAATTGATCCGAGCAACAAATCAGTGCACATTTCATCTGATTATCAAGCGATCGAGACTGGAAAGCAGAGCAGTAGAAATGGGTTGGGTGCGAGGCTCACTCACCAGCTTCCTTTCTTTCTGTACATCTCGCAGATGATCCTGTCCTCGGCCGGCGTGAAGTTGCCGTGCTTCAGCCCCGGACGGAGGTAGTTCAGCCACCTTGAGCGGCAGCTCCGGCCGCAGCGCCGAAGCCCTGCGATCCACCAACAAACTTCTCTCAGGAATGATGATTCAGACACAGTAGCGAGTGATAAATGATTTGCTTAGGCGACACTTTGCCATGATCATGTCAAAAATGAGAGAGCAAATTAATTGTCTCTGTGTACTACGCTATTGGTTTTTCTGAAGGAATCGGGTGCAGACCAGCTCCTGACTGAAATATTGCTAGTATGAAACTATCCAAGCAATTGTTCGGGGATTGATCAAATTAGTACCGAGAATGCTACGAAAGAAAGGTAAGGGATCATAAAAATTGGACAAATCTCTGCAGTCTTAACTGCGCACGCATAAGGAATTGCAGTAAATAGCAGTGTTGCGTGCCTATATACTTTGATTACGCTAACACCGCCATAAGAAACGGCATAAATCATTTGCAAGCAAACAAACTACAGCCTTACAATTTAGCGACGCTTTCTGCTTATTTGAGTAGATTGATTTATCGGCATCATCAAGAACTCAAACAGATATGAATGCATGCAAGGGCAGCTGTGGAGAAGAAATCAAACCTAAAGTATTGGATAATCCCTGCCAGCTACAGCCAATGCCATACTTCTCAATGTGGTTTTTGATCAGATTGTCTTCTTCCTTGGACCACTTGCCCTTCTTCATCATGCTCCCTCTCATTGGACAGGGGTTTTTCTTGTCGCCAGGAGGGGCTCAGGATTTCAAATGAAAGGCACACGGACTTAACTTGTATAAATACCAGTACTCTTGTACTGAGAAATACCAAATGTGTGATGGATGAGTATTTGTTTATATTTACCACGTGGTAATATCTGTACCCATTCTTGTTTTATTGGTTTGTCTTGTGTTAAAACCAACTATTCCCCGTTCTCCAAGAGAGAAGAAAAGGGGGTGAACGAAAGGTGAAAGGTGAAAGTGAAAAAAAAAAGTCTCCAGATGATTCCGCCGCGTGATGAGATTGCAGAAGTAAAAAGGTTAAAAAGATAATTAAGTACGGCATTAGGTGTTAAATTTGGTGTTAAGTGAGTACCGATGGTTTGAAGTTGGTTAAATGCATGCAGTGCCTTTTTTTTTAACACTGCCTGCAGTGCTTTAGCTAAGCAAAGCTGCCATCACCACAGTAGTTTGAACTGTCAAATATAAAATTCTCTGCTGGTCTTGTCTCCTACGGTGAACTTAATTACGCTCTCCGTTGCACTTGAGAAGGGTCCAGGAATACGGGATGTCCTGTGACATGGACTAGAGAAAGTGTTAGAGATGCTCAATTTGAAGTGAAGCGATGCCTTTCAGCTCTACATTCAATTTTTCTCATTCCTGTTTTGGTAAGATTTCAGAATATTTAGCTGCATCGTAGACTGGCAAAAGTGTAGAGATGCCAAAACTGAAGTGATGCATAAAGTATCATCTCTTTCTCTTTTTTGCGAATAAACATAAAGTCGCATCTTGTTAAAGGAGATGAAAAATTGACAAGGTATTCCACCATTCCCACAAGATAATCCGCCGTGATGTATTAAAAAAAAATAGAACCTTGTTAACATCTTGGCGGTCACCGGACAGCTTACAAAATTTTAAGGCTCTATACGTCGTGAACCCGTCCGGACGCGTCAGCGGACAGTGACCAGGCATCCCTCATTTCCCCCGTTTGTAAGCGTGGTCCTTAGCTGTTTAGCCTAAATTCATATAAAAGCATGCAACACGATGAAACTACGTAGATCAACATGCAACATATAAATGTTGGGAGTCATTGCATGGAAAACAAAAAAACTTTTATGCACACGCAATGATCTATCCATGAAGATGCATAGCAACAAGGGGGAGAGTGTGTCTACATACCCTTAGACCGTAAGCGGAAACGTTTCACAACGTGGTTGATGTAGTCGAACTTCTTGTCACGTCAACCGATCAAGTACCGAACACACGACACCTCCGCGTTCTGCGCACGTTCAGCTCGGTGACGTCCCTCGCTTTTTTGATCCAGCAAGACGTCGAGGTAGTAGATGAGTTCTGTCAGCACGACGGCGTGGTGACAGTGATGATGAAGTGGTCTCCACAGGACTTCGCCTAAGCACTACGAAAATATGATCGGGGGTGTAAACGGTGGAGGGG